GAAATATACTTGTTCACGACCTCCAAGAGCCCTAAGTGTGGATTTATTAAATAGAGTTTTTTTCATGACATTCAAGAGCATAAAGCGATAATTTATTAAATGGGGTTCTTCAAGCGCCATATCATGACTTATCACAACCGCAAGGGTGAAGTTTTTAAAAGAATATTTTTCAAAGTTTTACAAAGGCTAACCCGTTTTTGGATTTTAAAAATAATTTTTGAAGATTTTGTTTAGGCATAACTTTAAGAGCCTCAAGCGAGAATTTATTAAATGGAGTTCTTCAAGAGCACTTTCATGACTTATCATAATTGTTAGCGTGAATTTTTTAAAGGAATATTTTTCAAGGTATTGCGGAGTTACAATGGTAGGCCATGTTTCGATTTTAAAAATAATTTTTGAAGATTTTGTTTAGGCACATCAATATATAAAACAAGGTTTAAGATCTATCACCTTAATTGCTTAATTTTTTTTTCAAATTATGGCCTATTTTTTCAGGACACATTGCGGAACCTTTAGACGTATATTATTAAAGGAATAATTTCCAATGTGGTACTATCCATTTCTTTTTATATGTTCTATATAGATACCGCAGAAGACTTCGATTATTTCGTTTATATATAAATGACCTTGAGAAGGTAATCTATAGTTGACTTATAAAATAATTTTATATTCGATTGAATTTCAGAAAACTGCCTTGAAATAGTTTGCAATTTCTTACCTCAGTGCCCATTTTTTTTTTTGCTCCAATTATAAATATATTTTCCCCCAATGATAATTATTTTTCCATTTATTTTATTCTTATAGACTAATTTCAAATCTCTTCGCAATGATTTATTTCATATTTGCAGTCAATGATAGTTGTCTATTTCTGTGCACTTTTTTGTTCACCACCCTTGGAGATAACAATATTCCATATGATCTCCTATTATTATCAGTATAACTAGACCAACTACTAGTTTTTTCCATTTTTTATTTAGTTTTATTAAAATAATACTATCTTCAATACGAAAATAGTTTTTCAATAGTAATGCTGCTTTGCTCTGCTGATGTATTTTTTATCGCCTAATACCGGTTATAAATCGTAATTTTATTAATAATGAACTTACATGCGAAGGAGAAGAAAAAGGGGTGTGAGTGTGTTGCGGAAGAGGGTAGACTATTAGGTGCTAGTAGCCAATGTCTATGAATTTTTACAACTTGGCAACAAAATGTTATAGAAATCATTCGATTTAGTTTTTAATTTTGATTCTCCATTGCTATTAGTTTTTGTTGTGTTTTTTCTGTTTTTTTTTTCGATTGCCAATGACTTATTAACAAGTTGTGGGTGGGTGTCAAAGAACCAAATTAGCAATGTTCGTACTAATCGGGTATATTCACGTGTAAGAGTCTTAGGGAGGAGGGGAGATGGGGTATTTTACATTAGCATTACAATATATGATAATTTTGAAAAAAGAGAATATATGTATTTATAGAATTTGTTTGAACAATTAATAACACCCACAATACCTTATGGTACCACCTGGATCCCCATATATTTGTTGTAAAATGGTATTAATTTGATTTTCACTTAAATATATTTTTTGTATTTTTGCAATTTATCGGACACATTCGATTATACAGAATTCGATCATAATCAGATAAATTGATCATATACAGAACGATATTTTTTCTAGTACAAAATATTTCATAAATATATGATGCAAATCGAAATTTGAAATCGTGTTCCTAATTATTGATACAAGAAAATAAATGGGAACTTCAGCGTGATGGAGAGCCCATGACTCCCATTGCTTAAATGTCATTGCGGGCATTGTGTGTATAAATTTACAGTACATCCTAGTTATACCCTCCGCATAGCGAAACATCCAGCAAGTTTCAAACGCTTTTTAAATTGCTTAAATTTGGCTATGGCAGATATTTTTCATACATTTCAGAAACATTTCCAAATTGGCTGAAATTTGGTATTTCGGATTCTAAATGATTTGAAAAGCTTCTTTGCTAAAAATTCTCAAATTAAATTTCCCGTTTTTTTATATCCACCATCCATTTTCGTATAGTATGACCATAGTTGCCATTATTGGTCCAAATTTTTGAATAGGGTTTACTGCCGACTTTTAATTATTATATTTTTCAAAACCTATTTTAGTAATGAGCCTGGATTTTTTTATTAAAAATTTTTTCTACACCTATCAGAGTCATAAGTGTAGATTTTTAAATTTTGGGTTTTCATGGTTCATAAGACTTACAGGAGTGGATTTTTAAATAGATTATTTTCAATGCATTTCAGAGTCATTGACATCGATTTTTAAAACGAGTTTTTCGTGGTCTATGAGAGTCTTAAGGCCTTTCTATCTAAGTCAAAAGTGTCGATATTTTATACGAGTTTTCATAGATTATCAGAGCCAAAACAGAAAATTTTATATTAATATTTTTCAAGACCCATCTGAGGATAAGGGATGATTTTTGAATATTTTCAAGACCTCAGATGAGACTTTTGGATTTTTAATTAATAAATTTATAGACCTGCCAGAGCCCTTAACATGGATTTTTTAAATGAAGATGTTCAAGACCTTCCGAAGCACTAATCGTGAATTGTTTTTAATTGTCAAATGAAGTTGGTCAAGATCTGCCACAGCCGTAAGCGTGGATTTATTAAATTATTAATATTGTTCATGATATGCGAAGGGCCTAACCGTGGATTTTTTAAAAGAAGATGTTCAAGACCTGCATTTACGCTTTCAAATTGTTGACAACGTTTCCCAACAAATTGATTTTGAATTCGAATTTCATATCTTAGGAGTGTCGGCCAACTCCTTTTAGAATAATCTTAGAATAGGTCCATATTTAGGCCCTATTGTCTGCTTTTTAATGTACATTTATAATTTTCTAAGACCTATTGACCATAAATTTAAATATTCTGGGTTCTTAGATATATCCTGATTTAAGAATTTTTTGACATAGACTGACATGGACTTACAGTAACAGTTCCTCCTGATTTTATGGATCTACTATCTTCAGTGAATCGCTGTAATTTGCTCATTTTGTACTCTGCGTGTTTCAGAATCGTCTGTAAATTGGATTCTAAGCCAGTAGATGAACTAATCGAACAAAATATTCTATAGAATATCTTTAAATGTTCGCCTATTAGAATAAAGCCGTTACATCATCAGTACATTCTGATTTCATGTATATATTGAAATCTACAAATTTGGGATTTTCAAAATTGTATACCTTCTAAATGTTAAGATCCGATATTGTCTATGTTTGTGGAGCATATTTGGAGACTTTCTTCACAATTTATGAATTTTCGAAATTGGTTACCTTCTTCTACGTAAAAAAAATACAGAGGTCTGTTGTATGCTAATATATGGACATTTTGAGACCCTATTTGCGTACTCTCTTCACAATTTATGCATTTGCGAAAATGATGACATATTATTCATAACGAAAGGTCAGTAGAGGTCTGATGTATGCTAGAAGACCTAGACCTAGAGAGGTCTTCAAAGGTGTGTTTATAGAAATGTGGGATCCTATAGACTATATCAAGATCGTCTACAGGATAGAAGTCCTTCTATAGAATACCTTCATATGATTTTTATGAAATTTAAAACCTTCCAAAGGTATTTTATAGAATAAAAGAGTACGCAAAGATATTCCATAGAATAGAAGGTCTACTATCAGATAGAATACCCGCTTGAATATAAGGCCTTCCAAAGGTTTTCTATTGAATAACATATCTTCTAAATTGAAGACCTTCTAAAAATCTTCTATAAAATTTATGATCTCATAAAGGTTTTCTATAGAATATAGTATAGAAAACATTCTAAATCCGTTGAGGAGAGGATTTTTAAAGATCTTCTATATAATAGAACCTTTTCCAAATTTCGTCTTTAAACATATTTCATAAAAAATTTATTTATAAGATATAAAACCTTCCAAAGATATTCCATAGAATAGAAGGTCTACTATCAAATAGAATACCCGTTTGAATATAAGGCCTTCCAAAGGGTTTCTATTGAATAAAATATCTTCTAAATTGAAGACCTTCTAAAAATCTTCTATAAAATTTATGATCTCATAAAGGGTTTCTATAGAATATATAATAGAAAACATTCTAAATTCTTTGAGGAGCGGTTTTTTCGTCTTTGAAAATATTTCATAAAAAAATGTATTTATGAGAATTAAAACCTTCCAAAGATATTTTGTTCCCAAAGATATTCCATAGAATAGAAGGTCTACTATCAAATAGAATACCCGCTTGAATATAAGGCCTTCCAAAGGTTTTCTATTGAATAAAATATCTTCTAAATTGAAGACCTTCTAAAAAATCGTCTATAAAATTGATGTTCTCATAAAAGTTTTCTAAAGAATCGAAAACATTCTAAGTTCGTTGAGGTTTTTTAAAGATCTTCCATAAAATAGAACTCTTTCTAAATTTCGTCTTTAATAATATTTCATAAACAATATATTTAAAGAAGTCCGCTCAAGGATAGAATAATTATAGAGATCTCCTATAGGGCAAAGTTCTTCTTAGGATAGTAGACAATCAAGTAGGCTTTTGAAGAAGACAATCTCAAGATTTTCTCGGCGGTAAAGGGCCATGTAGAGTTAGTTCAGCAGTCAGTCAATTATTCTTAAAATTATTCAATCTAAATATTTATAGGGTATTAGATCTTGATTTTTATATGATTTCTTCAAAACATTATAAAAAAAAACTCAAGAATCTGGCTCCTACTCTTTATTTAGTCATAACAGAATTCTGAAAGATCACAAGCTTTTGCAGTTTAGAGCAGCAGTGACTAATTTATTGGTCGAACATGATGCAGGATTTTTATGCTGATTATAATGTGATAAGAATTTTTTCATAACTGGATATTTAATTTTCAAAATGCCTTTCAAATTTATTATTGCTATATTTATCCCTATTCATATTTTCTTTTTTGATAAAGGAAACTTCAAAATATATATTTTTTTCGTTAAACCCACCCATTAGAACTTACACTAACTTCATTTTGATGAAAATGTTGATGGTGATGATCTGCTCCGATTGTAGAAGAATATCCAGGGATCAGAGTTGGAACTCTGCTACACAGTTTATCAGATTGTTATTGTTTTTTTTTTTTTTGGTTGTTGTTATATTTTCAAGTGGTACGTTTTACTGGTTTCTATTGTTTTCTTTTTATGATTTTGTTGTTGTTGCTGTTATTGTTTGTAATATATATTAAAAAAAAGGATTTCCTGTTGTTGCTTTTCAAGAGTTTCACACAGATAAAATGGGTAGTGTTTTATTTTCTGTTCTTTTTTACTGCTGTTGTTTTTGTGTTGCTGGGTACTATGGTCGCTCTTTGTCAAATAACACTTGAAATGAAAATATTTTCCCAATGATATTTTGTTTTCATTACTAAATTTAGGTTTTTGCGTGATGTGTGCCTATTAATTTTTTGCGGTTTTGTTGTTTTCTTTTTTTTTGTATTTTTTTTATGGGATTTCAAACCGGGCACTTGTAAGCAAAATCACTGTTGTTTTTGTTTATAGGAGGTTTGCGTGATTTATTACTGGCTGCTCTATATTTTTTTCTTTTGTTTCAGATTTACGGTTTAATTGCGGCAATTTATCTCATTCGCTATCTCATGCGTATGATTAATATCAATTTTAATAATAGCTTTTATTTCAGGCACTTTTTTCTTTGCTCTGCAAATTTATAAATATTTTTCCGTGTTTCACTTGCGGTTCCGTTAATCCGTAACGTCTGTTTGATAGTTAATAGCTGACACGACTGAAAGTAATTTTTCTGCCTGCAATCGTTTATAAATGAATTGGCCAAATAACGATAATGCTCGCTCGCTCGTTCGTATGTTCGGCTGTGTGGCAGGCTGACTAGGTAAAATGGTATTTGTATTTGTTCGATTGTGTTTTTTTTTTTTTTTTGTTTGTGTGTCGGTATAGCACAGAGTATTCTGCTGTTGTGGCTGCTTCTTCTTCTCCTAGCCAAAGAGTCGATCAATTATTTCTATAACAAAAACAACACCAGCAAAATATCAGCACCTATACAAATATCGAATAACAACAAAAGTGAACAACAGCCATTACCGAACAGGCAGAAAAAAAAATAATAACAACAGCAACAACAACAAGAGCACAAAATGTGATAAGATTAAACAACGAAGCTAATTTTTATATACATACAAACACACCTACTAGCATTACTTACCTATGTCGGTATAATAACAGAGTCCAGACGACTATGATATTTAGCACATCTACACAGCTATACGCATACATTTACATTTTGAGCTGAGTTAAGACAATAATTGTGTTTACAAATGTCTTCTAATGGATTACTCAATGTTCCAAAGAGCAAACGAGTGAGAGAGAGAGAGAGAACGAGGCAGAGAGATAAATAACAATATTTTTGTGATATTTGACCGAGATTTAATTGAATTATTTGTACTATTGAAAAATTCCTTCAATGGAACAGAAGAGAATTCCATAGAAAAGTAAAGGCATTTTTAAAAACTGTATACAGAGTTGAAGATATTATTTGCTACTGAAAAGAACGCTTTGAAGGACTATTATAATTTCGCATAAAAAACAAGAACTTATATATAAAGGCAATTATTTTATCGTATTCCATATAATGCAAGACTTTATAGTAAGTCCTTTAATACCCTATAAAAGACTTCAAAAGGTATTCTATATACTAAAAAACTTTTTTATGCTTATCTATAGAATAGAACACCTTCCGAAAGTATTTTATATAATAGAAGAGTTTCTAAAGAATTTCCATAGAAGAGAAGCTCTGCTATAAAATCTAGAATATAATACCATCCAAAGGTTGTCTATAGAATATACGAATTTTAAATTTATTCTACAAAAATATACTTTTCAAACTTTTTTTAAAACGGAAGACATTCTAAAGATAAAACCATAAATTAAAACATAAATTCCATGTAATATTGAACTTATACAGAACTTTTATACAATATATGTCTTTAAAATCTTCAACATAATAGAACACTCTTTAAAGGTCTTTTATAGAATAGAAGACAATCTAAAACTCATAAGAACATTTTGTAAAGAACGTTTTCTATATAGAAGAGACTATCTTCAAAATTCGACGAAAGTAGATAAGACCTAATAAATGTATTCCATAGACTAAAATATATTCTACAGCTATTTTACATAAGGTATTTTTAAAGTCTTGTATAATAGACCTCGAAGAAATGGTCCAAAGTCGAAAGGCACTTTACTTATGATACATTAGACAGTTTAAGGTATATACAAGGTATAATCCTAGGAATCTTATTGTATAGCTGTGTAAATACATAAATATGAAAAAATTGAACCTAGGGTCTTAAATGCACCAATTATATGAAAAACATAAAACAAAACGGACCGGGCTTTTTTACCCCTCACCATAAGGTGCGTAAAATGTTGATGGTAACGATCTGCTGGCTGGATATTCTTCTACAATTGAAGGATCAGAGTTAGATCTCTGGCATACAGCTTATCAGATTGTTGTTGATATATTTTCAAGCGGTATATATTAATGTTTTCTTTTGTTTTTATACCCTACACAACTATGTTGTCAGGGTATTATAGCTTTGTGCAGTCCCAAGAGTTTGTAACGCCGCAAAATATTAGACCCACCTTTAAGTATACCAATCGTCATATCTCGACTAGCTGAGTCGATCTAGACATGTGTGTTCGTCCCTGGGCAAGTAATTAGAAGGGCTGTACTGAATAGTAATATTTGTTGACCTCTAGTCGGTCAAGAGGATGCAAATATTGCGAAATATTGCTCATGTTCAGAATATAGAACTACAGAAACTAATTTTTTGTGGAAGTTGTGTAGGGTATCAAATTAAAGCGAATTCGGTTGAAAATATGCCTATGGGTCAATATTGATCATTTTTGGTAGGAAGATTTTCAAATATAAAATTACAGTTTGTTTGTAATGTTCGGATTATAGTCGACTCGAAACGCACACAAAAAAATAAGTTTTCGGTCCATTTCATCCCAATATTTTAATTTGATCATCACCGAAAATTGTTGGCGTTGTCCCTGACCATAACTGGAATTTCATGGAAAATTTCAAAGCGATCAGCGAGATATTTCCGCCCTCTAATGTGGTAATGGGTTACTAAATAATATCTGAATACGTAAGCACCTGTAAATATTTGAGTGTAACTCCCACATCTGAGTAGATACATCACTATATTTGATATCAATTTAAAGGCCAACCACTCCTCTTGGATAAACTATCAACTTCTTGTGTATTTGTTCTTCCGGGGTAAATATATACGCAATAGAATACAAATTTTGTCATTTTTCACACAAAAGTCAGGGTCCGTTTGACCGGCTAAATATTGACCGATCGTTATCAAAACATGCATGCTTATTCTCTGGCCCGATCCCCTTCTCCATGCAAAAACTCGCGTTTGGGTCATAATTGCGGCCTCTCGAGCGACCAGAAAAACCGACAAAAATAAAGTTTTTGGTCCATTTCATCCCCTAAATATTAACCGATCTTTTCAAAAATATGGGTATTCATTGGCCAGAACCCATCCTAGATGCAAAATTTCGTGAAGATTGGTCCATAACTGTAGCCTGTATCGTGTTTTTAAATTATAATGGACAGACAGACGGACGGACGGGCACACATCTGTTCGAGATATGACGATCGGTATACTTAAAGGTGGGGCTGCACAAAGCTATAATACCCGTAGTAAACGTTATTTATATCAATATTATCAGCATATACAGTTATTTTCAAGAATATATATTATTTTTACATATATCTGACTATTCCTTACTAGAACTGATAAAAATTTCTCAATTTTTTTGAGAAGAACATTTTGAAATTTTTTATCGATTTGAGTGAATCATGCGTAATTCCCAAATTGATTAATGGAAATAGCTATTTTGTCAAAAACCTAATGGATTTAGGTAGGTTTCCGACGTTTCTGACGTATGTATTATACGTCGGAAATGTATGTCATTTACGTCACTGTTTCTGGCAGGCCATCTCTGGTCCGGAATACCAAATTACAGTCACAAATTACAGTGAGAACTATATAAATACATGTATTTAGATTGGGAATTTCCTGTCCTCTATGACCCCGAAATATCTTAGCGACGCCTAGATCAGACCTTGCAAATTTCTGTATATAATACCTTAAAAATGTCTTTATTAGGACTGCAGATCTTCTAAAGACATCTGAAGGTCTCTTATGGAATATCTTTTATAACAATAACTTCTTTTACAAAATAAAAACCTTAATTATGGTGCATTTTATTATTGATACCAAAAAGCAAATACAAATAAAATCCATGTTAAATGTCAATTTACCCAATTCGGAATGTTTATTCAATTTATTAGTTATGGCTCGTCATAACAATTAATGTCAGCTGGTATTTACGATCGATGGCCCACACCCAAATATGTCTGGGACTTTCTCAACCAAGTCTAAAGTGGATGCGTTTATTATGCACTTTGTCTTCTTCTTCAATTTGATAAGACATGACAGAGTTCATTCATCTATCCCCCCGAAGAAGACAAAAAATAAATAAATAAAACAAAATTCTTGGTTAATTCACAGAAAAAATTCCCAAAAAAATAAATTTTTTATGGGTGTGGAATATTGTTTTGGTATTATTTTTTTTCTTTAACAAAAACAAAAGTTGTAAAAATCTTGTTTTTGTAATTGCAATTTATTATAAAAAAAAGTCCATTTTGGCCTTGGCAACAACTAAAGTGGCCACATAAATTATAATCCCACAACTGGCCATCGGACGCAGGTAATCACATGAGTGTAACTGCCGAAGAAGAAGAAGAAATTCCGATTGCTGCAAATCACCCATAAACGCGGTATCAGTCAGTCATATTAACTGGTTTAAAACAATGTTATTGTTTATATTATTATTATTTTATTAAAAACGTTTTTTTTTCTTTATATGACCTATACAACAATAAAAAAAAAATAAAACATTTTTTGCTTTTCTTTGGAATTTCACTGAATTTA